AAAGCAATTTTCTTGGAAGCTTTGAAGACACAAAAACAAATTACAAGAGAAATGATCAGGGATTTTTTATTTTTTTGTTTTCCTGTACATGCACTACAGCAGTGGCTTACGGGCTTATTTCGTCAATACAGAGAAACAAGGTTCTAATTTATGTATATGCAATCACCATAATAATTTCAATGAAAACAAATTTCGAGTGGTATTAGGGTAAAGTGTTTATTATCTATAAAGAAAACTGTGTACAACGTTTTTATTGTTTGTCAGTTTGAGAACGTTGCACAGAAACATACAAGAGCCTTCTGCGCATGGCCATCCTTAAGTTTCAATTCGTATACTAGAAAGGCAGTTAATCGTTAGCATCTACCGCCAACTCTAGGGCTGGTTTTATCTATCTATCTCACTTCATTATGAAATCTTCGGAACATGTAATTAACCTAGTTCAAGATACCCCTTCTGTATACGTAGTTTCTTTAGAAACATCAGTTTAACGCTGGCTTATTTTACAGTTTGAAATTCGTAAATAATAACTGACTATTTATAAAGAGTGAATTTCTGCTGCTGAAGTATATATATACTAAACATAATACAGTATCATTCCTAAAATATTTCATAATTAGTGAAATATTTACATAATTTGTAGAACTTGTCGTTATGGAACGAATGTTTAGAAACTTGTACTTTTTTGTAGAACTGTGCAACAGAATGAAGTTAAACTAGTTGCACATAATAAATACAGCACCGCTTAATACATTTGCACAAACTGAAATCTCCAAATAGAATACGATTTAAAAAAAATTCAATTTGATTCATAAGATTTTTCTTTCTCTTATTATATATGTGTATGAAATGAATAAAAATCCTATAACCCGAACGCTCTCGAAAGGTGGACCTTTCATCTTCAGTTCACCCCTGAAGATGAAAGGTCCACCTTTCGAAAGCCCTCGGGTTATGGGTTTTTATTCATTTCTGTCAAGACTTCTTGAACCTACGTGTTTTTCTAACACCATGTCTATATATATATATAATAACTAACAAGTTGTAGTTTAATGTTCGCATTGCGTGTGAGTGTAAATGATCTGTTTCAGCTCAGTTGTCTTTAATGTACACGATTCTCTTTCCTGCATGTCGTAAAAAATAAAAAGCTTGTACGATACAATCAAGCAAAAACTTTATTATTCAACCTTTAGTTTTTAATGTTACGAAACATTTCGCTGACTACTAAGATATTTCTTGGTGTAATCAATATGCTACAGCTAAATTTATTATTACACCCAACCTTGCCCGGATAGCACAGGGATCGGCAACCCTTCAAAGAAGAGCATCTGTGTTTTTTGTTTTTGTCTAAGACCAAAACATTTCGAGAGCCGCAATATGCCCTAACGGTCTGACCTAAAAAAAAAAGGAGGGCGGTAGGACAGCTGTATGTTTTCAAACTTACAACACTGAATGAGAGGTTCGATTCTCCATTATGCCTGAAAGATTCTCAACTTTTATTCACAGTAAGAGTAAAGCCCGAGAGCCACAGATTGCTTACCTCTGGGCTAATACTTCTCAGTGTTGATTGCACGCCACACAAAATTTAAGTACAAATAATAATTCTACCTTTATTGCACTAATTTTTCAATTCAACAGTATTTCAGAATTACTGGAAAGTAACATTTATTTTATGCGATTCGTAGAGAAGTATGAAACAAAAATGTTCCAACTTTCTTTTCTGTGCAGCTCCGATGGATAACAACGCATTTATCGTTTGTTTGTTTTGTTTTTTAGAATTTGTCTACCCATCCAGCTCCGATGGATAACAACGCATTTAACGTTTATTTGTTTTGTTTTTTAGAATTTGTCTACCCATCCAGCTCCGATGGATAACAACGCATTTAACGTTTATTTGTTTTGTTTTTTAGAATTTGTCTACCCATCCAGCTCCGATGGATAACAACGCATTTATCGTTTCTTTGTTTTGTTTTTTAGAATTTGTCTACCCATCCAGCTCCGATGGATAACAACGCATTTAGCGTTTATTTGTTTTGTTTTTTAGAATTTGTCTACCCATCCAGCTCCGATGGATAACAACGCATTTAACGTTTGTTTGTTTTGTTTTTTAGAATTTGTCTACCAATCCTAAAGTATACAATTTTCATCTCTTGAGAAAATAATTATCCTTGTCTTGTTCCTTACGTAATTTTTCTTTCTCTTTTAGTGATTTTTATTACTACTGACTTTGTTGATGTTGTAGAATGCGGGTTGAATCACTAATAATAAATTTTAATAATTTATTATTGAAAGTAAAGAAGAATGTGTAACAATATGCAAACCACACTCTTTCTCCCCTGTTCTGAGCCGATAAGGCCTTTCGTTCAACTTCAGGGCTTATAAGACCGGTTGGGATACGACAGACACACTAATGGTTGAGACGCTATATATATTATCAAACTACATAAACAACAACGGTTGTGATTTGAAGTAAATCAAGTTGATACAATGTAATTTTTATAAATTGTATTTAAGGTATTTACAAATCACAATTAATGTTAGTATTAATAACACATTATTATTTTTAACATCAATCATTTATTGTTATTATTGCTTTTTTTTTTACTTTAACCGACTCTGTTTGTTTGTAATTAAGCACAAAGCTACACAATGGGCTATCTGTGCTCTGCCCACCACGGGTATCGAAACCCGGATTCTAGATTTGTAAGTCCGCAGACATACCGCTGTGCCACTGGAGGGGCTTGATCGACTCTACTCATCAAACGAACTATCGGACCAACACGCTAATCTTTTTTTAAAATCAGTTGTGAAAATAACTATAGGTTTTGTTTAAATACAATTGGATAAAGAAGATTATAAATTATTGACGTCAGTGTACAGTAACAAAAGTGGCAAGAGCAGTAATTTAAGGTTTCTCGAGAAAGTGACTACTTGGAGCTACTGTAAGGTTGAACGAGTATAAACCTATACACTGTGGATAGATAGGCAAATTCTTAAAAAGAAATCAATGAATGCGTTATTTACGGACGATACTCCTCGGAGCTGCATAGAAATGAAAGTTTGAATAGTTTATTTCGTACTTATCTGCGAATCATTCAAAATATATGTTACAAAATATCAATTCTAAAATACTGTTAAATTTAAAATTGTTGCAATAAACTTAGAATTATTATTATTTGTGCTTAACTTGTGTAATTTAATATGCAGGTGTGGCCTGCAATCAACACTTGAGAAGCGCTTACCTGTTAAGGTAGGGTGTAATAATAAATTCAGCTTTAACTTTGTTACATCGATTACAACAAGAAACACCTTAGTAGTCACCAAATGCGTCACAATATTATAAACTAAAGGTTCAATAACGAACTTTTTTTGTTTGACTGTATCGTACAAGAGTTATTTTTACAATACGCAGTTAAAATTGATCTGAAATAGATCCCTTACACTCGCACGTAATGCGAAAAACTTGTTAAGTATTATATATGTACCTATATATATAGAGAGAGGGGAAAAAATCGTAGGAATTAAATGGGATTTTTTTAGTAAATCATATTCTTTTTTTATCTTTTGTCTTTGTTTGTAATCAAGAACAAAGCTACACAATGGGCTATCTGTGCTCTGCCCACCATGGGTATCGAAACCCGGATTTTAGTGTTGTACGTCCGCAGAAATACTGCTGTGCCACTGGGGAGGGAATCATATTCTACATCGAGATTAAAGCTTGTGCTAATGTATTAAGCGGTGCTGTATTTAATAAGTGCAACTGATTTAATTTCATTCTGTTTCGCAGTTCTACAAAAAAGTACAATCTTCTAAATATTCGTTCCATGAACACGAGTTCTACTAATTATGTAAATTGAAAATTACTAAATATTTTAAGGATAAAACTGTATTATTTTTAGTATTTCACCAGTGGAAGTTCGCTGTGTATAAATAATAAATTATTATTTACGAGCTTCAAGTCTCTAAAATATTTTAGCTTTAAGCCCATATTTCTGAAAAAACTAAGCAGACAGTAGGCGGGAGGGATATCTTGATATAGGTTAATTCTAGGGTTGTGTATCTCATAATAGTAGTCGATGCGATACGTATCTAGATACAGAAGTTTTACCAACGGTTTGTTACAAATTGTCTTATTTAAGTGCTCCCCAGTGGCACAGCGGTATGTCTGCGGACTTACAACGCTCGAACTCGGGTTTCGATACCCGTGGTGGGCAGAGCACAGATAGCCCATTGTGTAGCTTTTTGCTTAATTACAAACAAACGTATTCAAGTACTTCACACTTTGCAGTACTTTTTTGAAATTATCAGGTTTGATTAACTAAATGGCAGCTGGCAAAAGAAGTAAAACAAAAAAGTTAATATCTGTTTATCTATTTTGTTATTGTTAATTTGTTATGTTACTTTACATGTAATGTTTTTGATAAAAGAAATGAAGACAATATGTAGTACTCAATACTCATCTTCCTTTATTGAATCATTAATTTTTAGCAAAAATTCTGGTTTTTTTTTAACAAAAGACTTGTAATGTTTACTGAAAGCTTGCCACATTTCGGACGATGTATTGATACAATCGTATCACGGCTTCACGATACGATACTTGTATCGTTTTGCCGTATCACCATACCTTTATTTAATTCCATGCCACTAGGATTCCTTAATGAAATTATATAGAATCCCCAACGCCGTAGTCGCACGCTCTTTTTTGAGTTTATAGTTGAAAGATCTATCTATCTGTGATAATATCATTTCCAATAGTTACAGGTATTAAATGTGGTTTAGTCCTTATTTTAATTAAAAGTTGTATTTTTGAGGTTCAAGTCAACATTTCAGCGAGGGAGTGAAGCTTTACTGCCATTATTGCATAAATAATGATTTACAAATTTCTTTTTTTAATACCTAGTATTTGATTTACCGTATTTTTCAGAATATAAGACGCACCGGTGTATAAGGCGCACCCTTATTTTGAAGACAAAGTT